CCCCAGCCCATTGTTGACTGTTGAAAAGGTCTTTGTAAAAACCATCAATGTTAGAGTGGATCTCCACCTTGTCCTAAAGCATTGTGAGACCATCCCAAAGGACCACAACCGAGGATCATGATAATGGCCATTGGCAATAGCCTTGAAGTATGCCGTGTTGGAGTCACCCCTAAATGTCAAATTTAAACGACCCTAAGACGACAGTAAATCTCCTCGTTCCGGAACAACGTCATGATGCTATCCTCGAGAGCATATCTCTCCATCCATTCCTCCGTATCTAGACCCGCCGTGGTTGACCGATCATCAAAGGACTTGATGGCCACAAGGAGCCCCACCTTGCGGATCCTCGAGTCTGGCCCAGGTTGGCCCCCCAACCCCGCATGAATTGCCTGGATAATTTGATACAGTGATGCCAAGTGTATAACACCAACATCGATCGGTGGGGGATTCGAGCTCCTCGAACCACTTGGACTTAACTGCCTCGGCAAAACCCGGCTGGCATAGCCCGAATAACTCGAAATGGAACAATGGAGGCGGCCGAGGACTAGTTTCCCGTGGTGACAACAAGGGGACATGATCTGACCAGGGGTGGTGCCAGCACCAGCACCAGGAGGCTGTGCATTCAAATGCACTAATCTTTTTTAAGTGTCTTATTTTCTTGCATAAATACGAATAAAATTAAGCTTGCAATCTGAAAAGTTATGGGGTCAGCTGACCCCACATCGTATATGTAGAATCGCCCTGGATCTGACCCAACCCTCCTAGTCAGTAGTCACTGCCCGAAGAGCTGCTAGGGGAAACTTATGTTCCCTTCAAACGCAACACCCATAGTATCGTAGTGCTAAAACTCTGATCTTTGCCTATTTTGCTCTTTGAAATTTTTTGAACGCCATCTCCAAAATGCTGAGCAGACAACTTGACGGAGTCTAGGCCATCAGCACACACACTCTACGGTCGATCCAGTTTAGTATCTCAAACCTTAAATGGTAGTGATATCTGGCCCTGGAAACTGATTGAACGAAGTAATTCCTATAGTAGTATATGTGGACCCAAAATCAATCTCCAGCGCGTAGATATCTCCATCAAAAACACACTCGTCTCCTCGACCCCAAAGTTAATGCCCAATACTCATCATTATACAAAGAAAGGAAGTAATTAATGTATCAATTAATGAGAAGCGAGGATAGGGCTCGAGAGCATATCTATCCAAGAGCGTTCACCTATAAAAGCGACCCTGCTCGATGAATCGATCCTGTGCCTTCCGAGACTGTATTCCGTTGCCTTGTGAGCAGGCACTCTTGCTTGATCGATCGACCGATCCTGTGCCCGGCCACTGGTTGGCGAGCATCTTACACAATGGCAGGTCGCCCGTTGCTGGCCCCGGCCGTCACGCTGCGTCCTCCTGGACCGGCGTTGGGCTCGAGGGCCTCGCTATACGTCGGCGACCTAGATGATGGCGTGGCGGAGGGGCATATCTATGCCCTGTTCTGCCAGGTGGCGCCCGTGGCGTTCCTCCGTGTCTGCCGGGACGTCACTGGCAGGTCACTTGGTTACGCCTACGTGAATTTCTACAGTCGGGAGGACGGTGAGTTTGCCTTCTTCTCTCTTTTTTTTGCCGGGTTGTCTTCGTCTCTTTGCATGTTCATCTACTCAGGCTTGGATCGGGGTTACAAAAAACTTACAAGGCTGCGTGGTTGTAGATCTGTTTGGTTGTGAAGTCTGTGATTTACTAGATTTCTCATACAAGATGTGGCACACCATCGGTTGAAGTTCTATTTTGGCATTTTCTTGTTCTAGTCAACTGAGGCGGGGGTCTTTTGATGGAACATGCGTAAATAGTGTGTTGACCTGCAGTTTGTAGAACAACGTGTCACTAACATAAGTAGTGTTGGAATCCGTAACCGTTTCGGGTTTGCAGAATCTAATGCTATCGGAATCGGACTCGGAATAGGATAAATGATTGGCAAAAGCAAATGGACACATAGTGGTTGCAATTAAACGTGTGTTTACCTACATACCATATATTTCTGTCGTAAAAGAAATTGACATGTTCCTATTATTGGTGATGTCTTTCTTATTCAGGTCGTAACACTTGAGAATTGAATCGCAAATTGAACTGTAGTTTGTTGTTAAGTTGGGTTGGTTGTTTTCAAATTAGCCAACATTAATTGGTGTTTGTGTCTGAGTGAAAGGCTTCATAGACTGCTTGTGATTATTATGAACAGAAGATAATAGGAATTTGGGCTAAAATCCTGTTAAGAGTTCTCCATAGATTGTGCACCATGGGGTAGAAAATCGCCATCCGACTCAGAACCGGATGTATGATTTGGGCAAAATAAGTAGACACACACAATTGTTCCAATTAATATGTGTTTTTCTGTTCGCTGAGTTATGCCGTAAACGAAATGACATGTTCATATTACGGGTGGTTGTCTATCTTATTTATGGTGTAACATTTGGGAGTTGAATCGTTAGCGAGAGGAATTGTAGTTTTTATTAAATTAGGTCACATGATTTGTTTTCAAGTCAGCCAAGATTGACCAATGTTACCAATGAGGGAATGACTTCATAGATTGCATTTGGCGATTAGGAACAGAATGGAATTTTGACTAAATCTCGGTAAGACTTCTTTATAAATTGGGTTTATGCACATTCCATAAAAAAACCAAGACCCTCGCTTCGATAGATCACAAAAAGAAATATAAGTTCAAGGCACTGTAGATTAGGAAGAGAATGGAATCAGCAGTTTGTAGATTGGGAAGAGAATGGAATCAGCAGCTTGTAGAACATGTTGCCGAGCACTGACATCAGTGTTAGAATCCGTAACTGATTCGGGTTTCCGATATGGCAAAATATCTTTGTGGGAACAAATGCTGTCGGAATACGACTCAGAGTCAGATGTATGATTCGGAAAAGTCAAGTAGGCAGACACACCAGTTGTAATTAATGTGTTTTTATCAACCTATATATTTTTGTCACAAACTAAATGTTCCCATTATTGTTGATGTCTATCTTACTTCCGCCGTAATAGTTGGATTGAATCGTCAGCGAGAGGAATTGTAGTTTTTTTTTTTTTGTGAACTCTGGGTTGGTTTGTTTCAAATTAGCTAATATTAATTGTTGATTCCATCTGAGTTTATGGCTTCATAGATTTCTTTTGGTCACTATGAATAGAATATAATAGAATTTGGTTTAAGATCCTATTAAGATTTCTGCGTAGATTGTGCACCATGGTGTAAAATTCGACGGGGAAAATAATGTTGCCGGATATGTCAGAATCCGACTCAAAATCGGATATATTATTTTGAAAAAAGCAAGTAGGCACACACAATTATTATTTCAATTAATGCATTTTTTCTACTTGCGGGATTCTGTCATAAACAAAATGTTATGTTCATATTATCGGCGTCGTTACTTACAGTCTAACTATTGGGAGTTGAATTGGTAGGGAAAATTTAGCTCTTTGTTAAATTGGGCCACACGGTTTATTTATAAGATAGCTAGCCAAGATTTGTACATTGCACCCGGGAATTAAGAACATAAGAGAATGGAAGTAGAGCTTAAATGTCCTTACGATTTCAGTGTAGATTGTGCATCATGCATGATGTAGAACGTCATCGTGGAAGTTAACATTGTCACAATCCGACTCGGACTCGGATGTGCATATGATTAGGAAAAAACAAATAGCCAGAATTTGGTTACAATTAATGTGTATCTATGTTCTTATTTCTTTCTATCTAAACAAAAGGACATGTTTCTGTTATTGGTGTTGTCTAACTTTTTTATGGTGTAACATTTGGGAGTTGACTTGGTTAGTGAGCGATTTTTTTAAAGTTTAGTCCATGCAGTTTGTTTTCTAGTTTAACCAATATTCATTGTTGTTTCCATTGATGCCTTCATAAGTTGGTGTGGCAATTTGGAAAATATAAACAGGAGGGAACTGAATGTGGGTTAAAGATTCGTTAAGAGTTTTTCTAGTTTGTGCACCATTGTGTTGAAACGTGCTACATTACACTAGGTAGATTGTATGATCACGATGGCCCCATGGATTTCATAGTTAACCTAGTCAAACTTTCATCAGTTTATTCATGCTCCACGCTGCCAAATTAGTGAAGAGCAAAATTGTACATAGCTCAAATTGGATATTAGCTTTTCATATCGGACATCCGATAATTGTCTGTTCAATGAACATCCTGTCATATATAATACACCATGTTGTATCGTGGTCAATTATACATATACATACCATACCTACACTATTGTTTTCACCTTAACCTGATTTCTTTTTTTTGTATGTTTGCTTGCCCTACTAGAGGATTTGAGTTTAATACTACAATTACCTCTAATAATTTTGTATGTGATTGTTTTGCAGCCCAACGTGCATTAGACTCTTTAAATTTTACCCCTGCCAACGGGAAGCATATCCGAGTTATGTTCTCGAATAGGGACCCAACGCTGCGATTGAGTGGAAAGGCCAATATATTCATAAAAAATCTTGTGCCAAATATTGATGGCAAGAGCTTGAGTGATATGTTTGGTCGCTATGGCACTATACTATCATGCAAAGTGGCCACTCACTTTAACGGTCAATCAAAAGGGTACGGATTTGTTCAGTTTGCAGAGGAGACATCTGCCAATGATGCCATCGACAGCTTGAATGGCAAACGAATTTTTGTAGGTCTCTTCATTCGTCGTCAGGAGAGGCAACCAAATATCAGCTTGAGTAATTATACAAATGTATATGTGAAGAACTTGCCAAAGGAATTCACTCACAATGACCTTCTCCAAGAGTTTGGCCCATTCGGTACAATTACTAGCGCTGTAATCATGAGAGATAGTGATGGAATATCCAAATGCTTCGGATTCGTTAACTATCGGGAATCAGAATGTGCTGCAGAAGCTGTGAAAAGTCTTAACGGGAAGATGATTAAGGATACAATTTTGTATGTTGGAAGAGCTCAGAAAAAGTCAGAAAGAAAAGCAAAACTGAAAGAAAACTTTGAGCATGCGAGAAATGAGAAATTCAAAAAGTTTGAAGGGCTCAATCTATACGTTAAGAATCTAGATGATAGTATCAATGATCTAAATCTTAGAGGGTTATTTGAATTTTTTGGTGAGATAGGATCATGCAAGGTACTTCTCTATTTATTTTCTAGCTAATTCTGGTTCTTAGTATCATAGCTCATCTTCTTAACATTTTTTTAGGTTATGGTTGATTCACAAGGAAGGAGCAAGGGTTATGGCTTTGTGTCATTTACAACTATTGAAGCTGTCCACAAGGCCGTAAGTAACATGGTTTAGTTGTATGCAAATGTGCCCAATGCATCCAGTTGACTAGTTTAGATTATTAAATCATCTTTAATCAATGTGGTAGATTGACGGGATGAACAGGAAGATAGTCAGCAAAAAGCCATTGTATGTTGGTGTAGCTCAACGCAAAGAGGAAAGACGAGCGATGCTAGTGGTAAGTCTAAATTGTTATTTCCCAAGTGATCATTTTGTACATTAGGTGCCTTCTGCTGATAAGGGATAAGTAGTGACTTCCTTTAATTAATCTTATATGGTGATAAGTGCTGTTTGAGTTCTAATATTGCCATGTGTCCATGTCTACTACATGTCTAATTATTTACGTATTATTTGTTTCATTTTTACACATAGCTGACTAACTAAAAGAAAACCTGTTCAGTTATAAATAAGTTGTATATTGTCCCATCCTAAGAATAACATAGAGTGAGAATCAATGTGGATGGGTGTTAACAAAATGGTTATGTTTTTACCGTCCAAATAAAGTTAAGTAAAACAAGTTCTCTCTTGTCACCTGTGTGTCACTGAATATTTGAACATTAGATCTGCCACTGTTTCAAGAATATATACAAGGGACACAGCACAAGCTTAATGCTACTGACATTGTTTCTAGGCACACTTTGCTCGTATTCAGAACGCAGGAGTTCTAGCACCCGCAGTACCACAAAATTTTGCTCCCCATCAGTTCTACGTCGGTCCAGGAGTGCCTGGCATGTTCCCACCACAGGTTCCTGCAGGCTTCGGGTATCAGCAATTCCCACAACAGCATTTCACTCCTTGGGTTCCTAGCGGCATGACGCCATATACATATAACCTGCCGAGGCCACTGCACCATGCTGGGCGTGGTGCGCATCAAGAAATCAATCTACACCGACAGGTATTATGGCATGAGAGATGACCATTTTTTGACTTAATTTTTTTAATCCTTATGCATCAGCTGGTCTTGCAAAGTGCATCCAGCCGTGGCCATGTTCAGCTTATGTCACAAGTAGTCAATTCACCTGACTTTTCGTGCTTTTACAATACAGATGGTGTACCCAAATGCCAACCAAGCTTTCACATACATGCCAAATTCAATGAATGTGAATGTCAACTCTGTGATGGTTCCCCCGGGCTTCGCACATATTGATAGTACTGTCTCTACTCCATCTGTTCCAAGCAAGAACACCACCACCACTGCTGTAGATTCTTCTGACCCAGAGAAACAACATCTCGTAAGGATAATGGAATTATATTAGGACGTGCTAATTTCAGTTACAAATTTTACTTGTCATGCATGTTTATATATTAGCCATTTATGTCAATGAAAGAGTGAATTTTCAGTTTGGTCGTATATTTTGTTTACCTTGCAGATTCAAGGCGAGAAACTGTACCCGCTGGCTGAAGAGCTTAAGCCAGAATTAGGAGGGAAGGTGACAGGGATGCTGGGTGAAGCAATGGAAGCCCTGCAACGAAGGAAAGTGGAAGATGCCAGCGATACTGTTGACCTCGCGTCCGTACCATCCACCTCGACCTTGAGTGCTAGCAGAGATGCTATTGACCCCACTTCCACAACGTCGTCCTCGAGTGCTTCCGCTGATGGTGCTAACCTTGCTCCGGCACCGTCATCCTCGAGTGCTTGATTGCTAGTTCCTAATATCTCTATCAACCTGAAATTTAGATGGTTGGATAATGTTTAAGAAGATTCCTGATTTGATGTTGCTTCATGATATTTTCGGTCAGAGATTTATTCTTGTTTGTTTGTTCTTAGGTTAAAGTGCAACTGCATTTTCCCCAATATTTAGGATAACTTCATCAGATAAAAAATTGGACAGTGTCCTCTTCCTTTGGCAGGGATCCTAGTTTCTTCCAATTTACGGACAAGATATAATAGTTCAATGGTATCTGTTTAACAATTCATGATGGCCTCACAAAACACACACACACACACACACAGACACACACAGACACACCAACCTGATGCTAAACAGGGGCTTAATGGCGCTAAAACTGCTTAGTATATGGAGATGTCGTTTACATGGACAAGTTTTTTTTTTTCGAAAAGGAGGAATACCCCCGGCCTCTGCATCTGGACGATGCATATGGCCACTTTATTGATTATAACACAAGACCTTACAAAGTCGTACAACAGTAAGACCAAAGCCACCATCTTCGCAACCTCTGTCGCTACTCCTATCTAACTTATGAAAGGGCGCTGATGGTCTGGGCCTAATACCAAACAGACCTCGCAGCCAAACCTAACATCTGAGACCTGAGGTTCCAACCAGGACTCCTTCCGGGTATGGGCACCCACCAGTCCGGCGTGCTCTTCAACCAGGCCCCCTGCCGGGTATGAGGCCGCCGCAACCACGTACCATCAATCCATCTTCAGAGCTGTACTGTTGCATGAACCGTGCTAGGCCTCTCTGCCATCGACGCCACCACGACGCCAGACAGCGCCGCCATCCTGCGCTCGTCCATCATCACACGCCCACCGGCGGGACGCCCGCTGCTCCATGCCGCTGAGACCCGCTGATGTCGACGTGCCAGATGCCACACCACTCCTCCTCTTGTCCCCTCCAGTCAACACTTGCTCCAAAACGATGCCCCCAGGAGGGAGAACGACGTCGAAACGTCGCCATCGTCCGATCCGGTAAATCCAGATCTAGGGTTTCCCCCGGAACCTTTCGATCAGGTTGACGTGACCTGCAACGACGATGCCTCGAGAAGGGAACGACGTCCAAGACGCCGCCATCGTCCGCCATGACCGCAGTCAGACGCGATTTTTACCGGAAGCCACGACGTCCCGATCTCGCGGTTGGCTGGAACGGAACCCTCCGCCGAACCGGTGACGTTGCCGCCGATCCGATCCCACCGCCGTGCGGCGCCCCCGATGGAGATCCTGAAGGCGAGGAGAGGGTCTCGATGTCGCCCACCAGAGGGAGAACGGCGCTGCGAGCGTCGCCAACATAGTGACCGGCACCGCCGGTCAAGGGTTTCCCCCGACCCAGAGCTCGCAACGCCATGCTCCACCAACCAGCCGAACAGGACAAGCCCGCAGACCGGCCAGCAGAGGAGGAAAGCGAGCCGCCAACTCCAAGCCCGCCGCCGACTCGCCGCCCAACACGGCAAAGACGGCGCACCGAGTGCTCCAGCAGTGGCCGCCGCCACCCGCAACGCCCGCAGCCCCCAGGGGGCCAGATCGGCCGTGCCAGATCAAACCCGCGCCGCCTCCGCCGCGGGGCCGCACCGCCTCCTCCCAGCAGCAAAGCTACCAGATCCGCACGTCTCCGCCGCCGGAGGCCCCGCCGGATCCAGATCCCCCACGAGCGGCGGCCCGCGCCGCCGAGACCCTGACCAGGAGAGGGAGGAGAGGTCCCCGCCGCTGCCAGCGCCGCACGGGCTTTGCCCGGCGGACGCCCTCCGGCAGCGGCGAGGAGGAGGGGTGAGCGAGGGCGAGGCCTTGCGCCGGCGGCGGAGGGGAATATCTCCTAATCTTTTGTAAGTTTATATATTACTAATGTTCAACTCATCTACCCGGGGAAAACGCCCTCTCCTCCATGACACAACGAAAATCCTAAGCCCCCTCGCCGCCGTACAACGCCCCAGGGTGCATGGTGTACACAAGCTGGTGCCAAACGGTCAATGTGCCAGCTGGTTACCTCAGGCGAAGGCGGTGGCTGTGTGAAACATGTGCAGTGGGATGCTAGGGGTGAGCGACCACAGGAATGTGTTTAGAATATTGTGAACCTCTCACAGATTGCTACTTCCTCCGTTCCAAAATAGATGACTCAACTTTATATTGATTTTAAGTACAAAGTTGAGTCATCTATTTTGGAACGGAGGGAGTAGATGTTTCATGTGATGTAGAAGTACATATATACATTCAAACTTGTCGATAGATGCATGGAAGAAACAACTTAAGAGTTCTGAGCCATTTAATGTGGAATCTGTAAGCTTGAGTTCTACAACTCCAGAGTGCTCAACGCGTTGTCTTTGGACAGGACATGAGCGAGCAAATTCTCGCACATGACCTTCATCCTCTCTAGGCGTAACTGGCATGCCGCCGCCAGCATTTCTCCGACTACCACCATGTCATCGACACGAAGCAGCTCGTCGATATAGACAAAGTGGAGTATGGTCCTAAGCACAACGGTCTTCATATCATCGATCCGTACGACATTGTTGGTTGTCGACGACACTAATGTTTCATAAAGAAGTGGCGAGCGCATGGCCATTATGAGCCAGTGCGCATGAATCTCACTCTCCTCGACCAGGAGCTCACGTCTGAACATTGTTTGCTCACCATCAGCTGCTCGAGGTGCCTAACAATGTTGGATGGTGGTATGACGATCATAGGTTTGGCGATGATCTAGTACTAGTAGTGCACGCCTTTGTGTGGACTTCAAGGTCGCAATGTGTGGTAAGGGAGCCATTGTGCCCTATGTATCGTGACTTTGCAGAATTCACCGTGATGAACTTTTGAAACCCCCAGGTTTCACGCACCTTGGTAAAAATATCTTCTGAACCAAGTTCCATCAACGGTGATTTGCCATTAGGGTCATGGATCCAGAACCTCTTGGACAACTTGACAGTAGCACTTCTAAGATCAGTCAATAAGCGGAGGTAGAGAGATATGTGCTTCTCACCCCCCCACCCCCCCACCCCTCCCTCCGCCGAGCACCCAGATGGGTACACATTGACCGTCCAATCGTAATCGCCTATGTTGAATATGTCTGAAGTGATTACTTGGCCAACACCATGGCTCCTTTGCACTGAGTTAAAGTTGGGGATCTTAAACTCGTGCGTGTCGCGGACCACCTCCGACTTATACTTGGATGTGCTCTTCTCTGTTGTTGGTCGATTGATACGGGAGGAGGAGGAAGGGGAGCTAGTATGTCGGGCCATGTTGTGTGTGGAAACTCTCTCATTGACCTCAATCATAAAAGATTTGCATGCTTCCTTGAGCTCCTCAAACTCGGTCGCCCTCACCGCATCGTATACATCAGGATTAGATGTTATGTACTTTATGCAGGAATCCTCGAGCAGACAGCATCTTTGGCGGCCCCGCACTAGCAGCAAAGTCGTCATGACAGTTGCCACATTGATGCTCTTGCATAGTATGTTCTCGCACATGAGCCTCAGCCTCTCAAGATCGTACCGATCCGCGGCCACAAGCAAGTTGTGTACCAATGGCTTCACGGCCCCTCGCCATGAATTCTTTCTTGAAATTATTATGCCTGCCGCCTGATTCCACATCGTTGTTTGGCTTGATGTAAAGCTCGTCGGTATAGATGAACTGGAGCATGGCCTTGAATGTGGAGGCACACATGTCCTCGATCCTCGCACGTTGCGTGGTGCTCTCCCTAATGTGACCGAAGAGCTCTGCGGCAAAGACCGGCAACCGCATAGCAAGCACAAGCCTATGCACGCCGAACTCGGTATCCTCAACGAGCAAGGTCACTTTTGATGACTTGGGGATCTTTGACGGACGTAGTAGAAGCTGCTCGAAATCCCGGGGGATGGTGGGTGCCGGCACCATGGAGACCAAGCACTTGTCTCTGCGGCGGTCTGGGCATCCTCTTGGAGAATGTCGACGGTGCAGAGGATGGTGAGGCAGTGGTGGTCTGGTCGCTTGCGTAGCGCTCCTCGTGCCCACAGAATGCATCTGGGAGCGACAGCTTCCAGATCACATCGGACAAATCGCTGGAGAGTCTTTTGGCTGCGTAGCTTCGCCACCCGGCGGGCGGCCACTGGCCACGCGGGTCATCGATCTGAAGGCTGGCTGTCCTTGGTTATTTCGGTGCTAAGCAGCTCGAGGGTGATAGATGTGAGGTGGTCTTGATCGTCGAAGGTGCAGACGAGATCCCAGGTGTAGTTGCTGACTTGGAAGGCACCGTACTTGATGGAGCTGTACGTTGGTGAGGTGGGCGAAAGGCTTGCTGTAGCCGACGATGAGAAACTCCTCGGACGACCACCGACCTGTGTGTCAACTGTCGACACCGTGTTTTGCGGCGCGGACGCCATGGCAAGATTTCGATGAGGATGCAGGCCGCTCGGGAGAAGCCCAGCAGAAACGTATTGATTAGGTCTGTCTATATATCACATCTAAACCTGAGATAATATCTCACATCTAAGTTACGACATCAGCAAAAATCAGCTTTGCTCCAGCCCACCGCGTTGTTCTCTTGTCTGTTTATTTTTTCTTCGGGGCGGCGTTGTTCTATTGTTGTTTCTCTTTCCTTCATGTCGGCCGACAGTCGTGGGACAGAAAAAAGACTCTAATGCACTGTGATGCCTATGGGTGGAACTCAGGACAGCATACTAGGGAACAACGGCTCCTATCACTCCACCCGATAAATGATGCTGATGACCATGAAGCGGTAAATGTTTACGAACATAGTACATCGTCGAGATTAGAAGAAATTATAGCAAAAAAATTACAACCCTTTTTTACAAATTGTGAACACTTTTAAAATTTCCAAAATTCTTGTGATAAATGAGAATAAACTTTGTAATTCCAAACATTTTAAAAAAAATAGGAACACAATTTGGTATTCCGAACAATTTCTTCACGATCAAATTTTGAAAAGCTGAACAATTTTTAAAATACCCGAACAGTTTTTACAGTGGGGACACTTTT